TCTATGTCATAAAAAGAATTCATGTGATGAATTCCAATTATTTACTGCTAATATAAAAATGCTAAACTTCATCTTGCAGAAAATTGTCCCACAGAGGTAGTCCTAACAGTGCATTAAGGCATTCTTGATCCTAGGTAGGCTTTCCAAAAAGTGGTGTTTGTGGTGGTAGTGGCAGAGGGGGAAGCATCCAGCTGCTGTATCATTCCACATTTTCCCAAAAGAAGAATTTCCTGCTTGAATAGTAATAAATAGAGAAAAACTCTTTGTCATTGGCTAATGACTCCTGACTTCCACACAAGTTCTGAGTTTACTAAGTTGGAGTTTTTTGAGAATAAGTGTTCAGTGTTTATTTTCAAAGACTGAGATATTTATCCTTAGACAACATCTCATTGCAGTGGCTTTATTTCTGTTAGAGCAAATGACAAATGGAGGTGCAATCATTTTGTCAGCTTAAGCTGAGAGGAAGGAAATAACACAATAGGCAACTGATGGAGAAGTGTGTTTTGACTGACTGGTGGAGCACACTACAATAGAGCTAATCAGGAAACAGGGTCCCTGTATAAACACAGCCTCACAAAATTGCATTTTTATGAATGAGTTGCTTCATGTGGTTTCCTACTACTTTTCACCTTGTGTGGTAATTTTCTGCTGTGCCAAGAAAATGAAAAGCAGTGATTCTGATCTGGGAGCAGGACTTGCTGGTGATAGTGTGTTGGAGGTTTGGTCCACAGAGTCCAGGTGAAAACCCTTGGCTTTTTAAACAAGCTTTTAACTCTTCAAGTGAACAGCTCGTTCCCTGTCAGCCAAACTACAGCTGTCACATTACATTTACATCTGCACAATTAGCTCTCACATTTGCTTCATTGTAAGCAGCAACATGGAAGATAAAACAGTAGCAGGTCAGGCCTGAGAAATCTGCCAGCCGCTGAGAAATCTCTTGGCACAAGCTAGGGTTTCAGGTGAGACAGAGGGAGTTAGGGATGTATCTTTTCAAAAGGTACAATGCTGAGCTTCTCTTAGCAGTATGTGCCCTCTGGTTATTACATTGATTGAGAGTTTTGCATGCAGTTAGTTCCATCGTCATCTATGGTGTGCTGGTTGCAGTGTCACTGCCAAGATTTGTCTTTGCCAAAGTAGATCTAAGCCATGTCTGGAAGCATATGTATTTGAACTGGGAGTGAGCAAAAGCTTAACTTTGGGTAGGAGCTAGTTTCAGATTAAGGCTTTGGCATGCAGTTATTTGCCCCAGAGGGTGCTATTCAAACAGATCTGTTCTGCTGTCAAAAGGTTAGCCAGATTCTTGAATGAATGATACTAGAGGCTCTGTGTTAATTAATGGTGGTAAAATGCCAGATCATTTGATTGAAGGAAGTAGGTTGGCAAGCAATTGTGTCATAGAAGCTTTGAATCAATTTTGTTAGATTCCCTGCATTCTGTTTCATATTTAGATAATTTTTCCTTTCATCATTGCAAATTACATGAGCAAATGTCCAAGAGGTACATTAATGGCAAAATTACAGAACAGCAAATGTACTTTGGGTGCTTATCACAAGAAAAGGGAAGTCATTACCCACCACAAGGAAGAAAGAAGGAAGCTGTTCCCCAGCATTTGACGAGTTCCTAGCCACATGGGAGTTCATTTTAGCTCCCTTCTAAGAATTATCTGGTCTGGAAAACACTCCAGCTGTGCTGAGCTACAAGAGAGGCCCTTCAAATCAAAAGCAGCTGGATTTCAGTGCATGACCCTGGTGCTGACTGGCTTCACACAGTTCAGAGCCGGGAGCACAGGTGATGCCTGTTGGCTTGGGCCATGTCCTTTTGCATGGAATAGGGGAAGGGGATCTGCGCTCAATTCAGAAGTTGCATGTAGCTGAGCCTTTCAAAATATTTGAGTTCACTGTAGCAACAGTTTGGGCTCTCTGTCATGGTGGATGCTGTAAAAGTCTGCCTGGAGTGGGGTGGGTACTGTGAAGCTGCTGCCGAGGGAAGGTAGGAAATAGTGTGGGTAAATAGAGCTGTGTCAAATAATAAACTGTGGAGGAGCTGGGGCTTCCTGAGAAGCCTGATAGTTTTTCTAGCTGGTTATCACTGCTTTTCCCTAAGTAATGATATCCTAAGGCTGTTTGTTTTCAACTGCTTTGTACTTTTTCAAGAGAACTCATTAGTGTGTCTGAATATGGAATGATAGATTTTTGAAACAGTAGGGCTGTGGTGGGGAAAAAAAAATGAGCCTCAAGGCTCTGAGGCTTCACTGGCACATAAAAGCAGGAGCCACTCCTTTAAGGCAGTTTTCTTCTTTAGCTGGTCCTGTGGGTAGCTAAATGTTGACCTGTGCAGCACACCGTGCTCTGCTTTATCTGACAAAGATCGCTGTGTAACTGGAGAGACCAAATCTTTTACAGGTCTCTTCTCTGCTTTTCGACAGCATGCTCTTTGTGACTATGACAAAGAGAGAATAAAAGCATCATATATGCTGGGAAAGAAAATGTACCTGTATGAGCAGCTGCAGAGGATGACATCAGAGTATTGATTTGTACAAAAGTCTTATGGACAAATGGAGTGACAAGTGTTGTTGAAATCACGGGAATGTGATTATTGTTCTAAAGTTTGTGCTACTTTTGAATGGGGTGAATATAAGCATAGGAGGAAAGAGCACTTTAGACAGTTCCTGAGCAATCTGGCTGCTAAACAGCCTCTGGCCGTGTTCACCAGTCTCTTTTGGGAGGCACATGCATTGCCAAGTGCCTCTGGGTAAAGAAATGTCTTTCCAGCTTGTCTTCCAACACCTGTGACTTCCAGCCATGGGAGTCTCCTGGGACAAGGTACAGAAGCCTTCCCTCAGTCTCAGTTCGGTGCTGGATCTGTCTGATAGCACTTCCATAATCAAATCCAGCCAAGGCAGTCCCAGCCTGGTCACAGGATGAAATCCTGGAATGACGAGGAAAGGCAAAGCAACCCCTTAGGCTGCTGCATTGTCAGAGCCAGTACCTTCCAAAGCTGGCCCTGTCAAGGTGGCTGCAGGAATGGCTGCCTTGGGAAGCTGATGCTCCTTGTTCCAGTGGCTTCACCATGTATGTGTTACTGCTCAGAGCAGCCCTGGGACATGCCACATTCCACGGCATTTGGAAAGGCAAAAAAAACCCATAGACAGCTGTATCCCAGCTCTTCCCTTGACAGTTCATGAGGTAGATTCAGCTTCATAGCAGAATTACTGCCCCTTTGATAATAGGAAGAGGATTTACAGTACATTTAGTTGTTTTAATTTCATGTAGCTTTGTGGGAGGTCAAGTAAGAGTTTATACTGTTACCTTTGTTAAATACAGTAACAGCACTATTTGTTCTTCTTTCCCTGAGCAAGGCTGGAAATCAGTGCCCACATTTCTGTAAACTGTTTCTAGAATTAAGGAAAGTTATTGTAGAGGAGTGGGAGTTTGAATAAAGGTTGGTTTTTTTACTTTTGTCAAGTAAAGAGATCATATAAGCCTAGAGCCTCTTGTAGTTGAAAATATCTTGTATTGCCTTTCCATTTAAGAAGGACCAGAAGTGAATTTTGTAAGGTAAATAAGTGATCTGATGTCTGACCTCTAAAATAAGAATAGCCTTTGTTTTCAGTAAACATATCTGACATCGAGGAGCCAGCAGGTTGTTGCCTTCTCGTCTCAAAATCTCTTTGGGCCATTTCAGTTCCTATGCAAAGAGCTCTTGACAGGCTGCCAGCTTATTATGGTGGTTACTCTCCAAGAAGATTATGGCAGAACATAACCATTTAAAATGTGACATGCAGGAGCACATTTAGAAAATTTCAAAATGCTGCAAGTAAAACTGAGGGAATCAGAAGGAAGCCCTCGTCAGATTGGGTTACAAAGGGTGTAGGTGGGAATGGGATATGAAAAGAATATTAAGAAAGGAAAGCCTGAGCACACTGGCACATCATGGATGAAGCTGTTCCAGCAACTTTTCTCCATGTTCTACAATGAGCAGAGTACAATTTAGCACCAGGAAATAAAAATAATAAGAAAAGCATAAAGGTAGCAAGAAAAGCCTGAAAAATTGAAGAAAAAGCTAAGGAAAAAAAACTGTTTAAGTATACCAGAAATTGAAACTCTGAGGCCATTGTGGATGTGAAATTGTTTTGTAGGTTGGCAATTGTTTATTTTACAAACTCGGGTCAAATAACTTCAGGTGATGAGTTTAAGCAGGAAAAAATTGAAGATAATTTTGAAATGTTTATTTTCATGTGGTGCAAGATGCTGTACTTAATTAAAAACACTTCTTCTCATTTTCAGGAATACACAGTCATTTATTTCAAGCTAAGCCAGGTTTACAAAACCTATTTGCACAGTCTGGCCCTAAGTTTTTAACAGGGCTGTGAAGCCTGTGCCTGTAGCTATACTTTTTAATAGCTGTGTTTTCTGCTTGCTGGAGCAGTCCCCTGGCAGGACAGGTCTGGGGTATTGTTTCCTGCTCTCACATGGGGATATTTTTACACAGCAGGAGGCAGAGTACCTGGTAAGGCTTTGAGAAGAGGGTCTGGGTACCCCAGCTGGGGTGGGAGTCTAAGCTACTGTGGAGCTGCTGGGGTCCTTCAAGCACAATTATGTGCAAGTTTCCTATGTATTATTTTGGCATAAAGACATGTTGGGACTGGTCACACTGAGATAGATTTGTCTGGCACTTCAAATTCATTGTGTTAACTTTGCAGTGTGAGCATCTAAACTGCTTGTTCTACTTATTACATGTAAGTTAAAAGTGAGAAATTGAGTTTGTTTTGGTGCTTTGTGCTAAAAATGTAATTCGTGAAACAAGTAATTTCTATTGAATCAGGATCACCATGGCCACAAGGTAGGTGATAAGATGTCAGCTGTGTAACAGCTATAGTATGTAATAAATGTTTACATGCCATCAAGTATACAAACATTTGAATGCTTACATGACAGAGCTTTTCTTTTGCAGTCATTGGTCTCAATTTTTCCATTACATTTTCTCATTTTCTTTTCTAGCTTTGCTCACAGACAAACCTCCAAAGCCATTGTTCCCCATGGAGAACCAGCCAACTGTTATAGATGTCCAGCTGGGTAAGTCCCCTTCTGGGAATAATAGATCCTAAACTTACACTCTGGTAGCAGATGGGATAAATTGAAAGTGATAAGAAAGGTTTAGTGGTAGTTATTACATGCAAATCAATTTGCAGCTTCTCATTTATAACCATAGAATTCACTGCCACGGCAATTTAAGGGAATGAACTTGTATAACATCAGGGGATGGCAGTACTAATTGGTTACAATGGGTATTAAATATAAAGCACTGATGCTGTTCTTAATTTATGATTGGTAGGCTAAAACATGTTTACATTGGTGCTGTATTGGTCAGTTGATGTTCACCTTAAGACAAATGTTCTCATAAAAGAGGTGCTGATTCCTTTAAAAGTTAGAGTAAAGCATTGCATTTTCAGGTTGTTCTGAATGTGTACCAGAAAGGACTTTTGACCAAAATGCTTGCATGCTTTTCTCACTCCTGTTATACATTCTGTGAATGCACACCCCTGAATCTTGGCTAGCAGCTCCTATTTTCTGTCATGTTAGAAAATAATGTTAGAGTTCTGCTAACTTTGGAAAGCTGTAAGGTATTGTGATACTGAAAGAACTGTTCAGCATTGAGGTTCCAGAGGTTTTTTTTAGTGACTTGAAAATACATTTCTAATTTCAAGAGGCAGAATTGGAGTTGCCGTTAAGGACTGTGATGCTATGGGCTGAAATTACAAGAGATGTATTACATGTGGGGATTATTCACTCAGTGCTGAAACTGTGGCACTTTGCTTCTTGAGCTTGACTCTCTTCCTCCTTTATACCAAAGCTGTCTAGAATTCAGAGGTGGAATGGTGCTTAATGGCAAGCAGGATCAGTGTGAAACATTTTAGGAGGGCTGGTGATATTGTAGTAAAGCTGTTCGTGTTTGTGAAATTCTACAGGCTTCTACTTGAGATGAGTACAAAGACACATCCTTGTTCTTAAACCAGGTGCCAAACAATGTCAGAGAAGCACTGTGGATACTATGAAGTATTTAAAAATGGGGCTTGAATTCTTGAATGTGAGCATATAAATCATTTGTGACCTTAGTGAATCTTTAAGATTTGATTTCTCTCGTACACCTGAAATGATTCAGGAGTCTGTAAGGCTTTGCACAAGGAAGACAGCAGTGGATCTGGGACGCAGCCAGTGCCAGATGAATTCTGCAGACAGGTGCATATCTGCATATTTAGGTTCCCCTCCACAGGGCTCAAATATCTGTAGCTGAACAGAAATTGCCCCTAAAAGAGGATATGAAATTGATCTGGAGCCTTAGTTAAAATCCTACTTGAGTTAATAGCAAAACACAGTCATTGAAGTTTGGATCAGCCCAAAAGGCTGAATTCAGTCTCCTGGTCTAACTTCCTAGAAGTCAACTTTCTAATGATTTCCTTTGGGAGCACACTGTCCCTGTACACATCTGTGTAATAAAGACACTCAGAGTACACATCTTTGTTTCCTGCATTTTCATTTAATCTTCATTTTCTATTCCAAGTTCCCCTGTTCCAGCAAGAGCCTGTTGGTTTTGCACTGAATTCTTTGTTGTTGTTTGTGTGAAAGCATTTTGTTCTGGCTGATTAAAAGGAGGTTTGATTAAAAAAAAAAAAAATAAACCCCCTCCTCTCCATGGAGATGTGGCTCAGTAATAGGATTTTGGAATATCTCTAGAGGGAAATACAAATCTTCCATCTTTATATACTGGAATCTTAAGGGACATTTGTTGTCCCTTAACATCAGGGAATTTACATATGGTGCATTTTTTTCTGATATGTTAATGGGTTTGGTTATTGCCACTAAACCATATTCATATGATGGAACTTTAACTTACTTTGCAGTGAAATTCATTGATTTCCCTCTTGATTTAACTTGGCAAATAGATAAAGCTGGGAGATTCTCAGTGAGCACCTTCATCTTGTGGGGGCCACCAGCAGCCTGGGGCAGGGAGGCCGTGCTGGGGTCTGAAAGGTGCCAGAGCCTTGAAGGATTTGGAATCATTTGATTGCACAACGTAATGTGGGAGGAGGTTTTGTGTAAGGTCACCTGCTGGAATACTTAATTGAAATCTTGTTAAGCTCCTAGGAGTTTTGAACAATTTACATTATTCGGTATTTTATTAGATATTAAAGGAAAATGTCTGTGTTTTACATGCCCTTTAGCCCCTGGAGTCAAATCACCCAATGTGCCTGATTTTTCAGTAGTTATACAAGTATGAATGTGCCACTAAGCTACAAAAGAAATGAAGTTTAATCCATCTACTTCTTCTGCAGAGATTATTTTAGTTTTCAACTGGAAAGCTAATCTTTAAAGAAATAGCTGTCTTTCCTCTATAAATAAGAGGAGATTAATAATTATTTACTGTCTTTATCCTTAATGATTAGCATGATGCAGAGAGCAAAATCTCCCTAGGCCTCTGGGCGGTGGCCTAACTATTTAGCAGCTTATTTGGACTTACTGCAAACTTCAATATTCACCTTTTAGCTTTCAGATCTTATAATAAGTTTTAGTGAAAACAGGTATGCACAATTCTTACTGACAGTGGATAAAAGAGCTCCTTCAGGCTTCAAACATGATCCAGAGCCTGCCTTGCTCTTCTTAAGGAGCAGTAATGTATTTTGTGTTTTCTGTTCTTCTTTGGAATGTGACAGAGATCTGAAACCAATCCTGTCAAGATTAGAGAGAAGCAGAAACTGGAATTTGCTTCTTTTTTGTTTTCTGTATTTGCTTATGGTGGAGAAACAGAGCCAGAGACAGGGCAGGGTTGACAGGAGGACAAAAGAGCATCCCAGAGGACTGGGGAAATGGTCCAAAACAGTTTCACTCAGTTGCTTTACTAAGTCAGATAATCATTTCATCTCTGGGCCATCCTAGAAAATAATGATTGATGACTGATTTTATTTTTTTTTTAATTGTCCATTTACTGCTTCCTTTTTATAAAAACAAAACCAGGGAAAAAAAACCCAAAGCCTTTTTATTTGCAATTTAGATTTTTTGCATTGAGGTCAGTACAGAAATAGTTCTTGATTGCATGATATGTGATACATTTAATCTTTTTCTGCCTTGGTATTAACAAATAATGTTTATTCTTACTATATAGTGTATGTTTTGCAAATACATGGCATTACTCTGATAATAAAATGTTCTTCCTCAAAAAAAATATTCCTGAATTGTCTTCATGACATTAAAATCAAATTTGATAGTACAGGCCAAAACACACACAGCTCTTGTGCCCAGGAGATGGGGTGGCTTTGGCTGAAGGCCTTTAAGACCATCTCCCATGGGAATATTAAAGTGTATGTCATTGTGATTAAAAGTTGCATTGTTCAAAGGCCCCTTTTTTAAAGCCCAAGCTTGCTGTTACTTTGACCATATAAACCTGAGTGTGTTTATGGATTGTTCATGCCAAATCCCTGACTTTAGAGAAATCCTGATGTGATTTAGAAGAGTGAAGATTGAGACCTTGTCAGGTGTCTTGGGGCTGTGAACAGTAAGTTTTAAAGATCTTTAAACTGTGAATTTACCTAATTTCACATACAGCTGTCTGACAGCAAGTGGAGCACGCTGTGCTGTAAGACTTAAGACGACATTTTGGTACGTTGCTCTGCTGATTTCTTAATTAATTTGTTACATTCTTTTCCAGCTAACTTCGTTCACTCTTAGTGCTCTGAGAACATGGAAAGAAGTAAAACCATTCCTTGGTGTTTTGATTACATGATTACAGAGTAGGTTTCTCCTCTGAATTTGTGGAGTTTTAGTAGCACCAAGAAGCCAAAATCCCACTGATCCCTAGGAGCTGTTGCCCTGCCAGCTCTCAGCTGGTGTAAAAACAGTGTGGCAGAGGCATTTGTGGGAGAAAGGAAGCACAGTTGTGCTCTGCTGATTTTGGGCTGGACACAGATCTGTAAGGATCTATATCTAGCCAGTCTCTGTAAAAGCAGCTGCCAGAGTTCTCTAGCTTGCACCATGGCTGCTATTTTTCATTTGTGTGTTCCACAGAGCATCAAAAAAGCTGAAAATGCAATATCAAAATAGATGCTAAATCTGTTAATTCTGTACCATGTATTACAGTGACTGTGGTGTTAAGTTAGGCTTCTTATGAATGAGTTGGTTGAGTGGAGTGAATTTTGCATGTTTGGGTCTATATTAATTGAATAGATAATTTACATATCATTTGCTTTTCAGCTATGTCCTGGTTTTGTTTTCAGGTGCTTGCTTAAGAAGTGTAGCAGGAATCTTACAAAACAAAGCAAGAATCCCCAAAGCAAGAATTTACTGAACAGGAAGGATGTCAAGGGGTTTAACTCGCTTTTGTCGTGGTCGTTTCTCTGTTTCCAAAGAAGCTGAGGAAAGAAAACACATAGTTTATGAGGATTGTCATTATTCCTAATAGCTGAACTGCTCAGAAAGATTTTGTTTCTAAAAGATTTAACAGCACCATTCCCTGGGACTCATTATTAGATAGATCAATAGAGATCAATAGAGCTACTGTAAAACAATTGCAAGGGAATATACAAAGTTACATCTGCTGACAGGTATAGGAATAGACTAAAAATAGTTAGGAATAAAAAAGCCCTTTTCGTTTGCAGCACTGGATGAAAGGAATTATTTGAGAAGTGAAAATTCATGCATTTACTGACATTTTAAATGTACCACTTCACTCTCCAAAATCTTAATTTTCACTGAGATGTCACTTCTTTTCTTAAATAAATAAATGTTAACAAAAAAAAACCCTGCAAGATGTTTGAGGCATTCATTTCATACCAAACATCTTTATTCAAGACAGTCCAGCACTATGTCATCACAGATTTGCTCATTAAATCTTACATTCTTCATATTTAAAGATACAGATATTTGATAAGCAAGTGAATAGAGCGGTGATCTTGGACAGAGCTAATACAGAAATTTTGAACTGTAAAATGTTTCAAACAGAGCAAGTGATCGGAAAGTGAACTTGAACATTCTTAATTAGTGTGCTTGCAGTGTGGGAAGAGCACTGATACTTGTCTGTGGTC